AGATTAGCGCGGGTCGGAGATCGCGCGCGCGCGCGACCTCGCGAGATTCACCAACTATCTCGTCACCGAGACACCACTCACTGACACTGTCACCGGAACGGTTAACGAACGAGCGGTCGTCGTTGCGCGAGGAAACCGGGGACGGTGCCGGCAGCGACGGTGGCTGCCGCGAACACCGATTGCTCCCTCGATCGCCGTTCGGGATTCAATCGAGTCCCCTCGAGCTGCTCGTCCTCCGTTTACCGTTCACGATCGTCCTTACCATCTTCATCGTCCTCGAGGATATCCGACTCGGTTCCGCTCGATTCCCTGCGAGCCGTTCTACGGTCCTTCCTCGCGCTACCCTCCGACGACGACAACGACGACGACGACCACGACCACCACCACCACCACGAGGACAAGGGAACGAGTCTCGCGGTCGAATCCACGGTCTTTTCTGTTCGTTTCGTCGCTTCTCGATAGAGACCGTGCAAGCCCGCTAAAAGATTCCGCTAAAAGATTCGTCAGAAAGTTTCAGCCGCGCTCTCGGCCCGATACACGTGACCACCGAACGGATTATATCGTGCCGGACCTCGCTCGAAAACTTTCTTCTCCGAGTTTCTCCTGTTCCTTGTTGCCTTGTACCTGTTTCGTTTTGCTCGGTGCGTACCGCTCGTCTGGCGCGCTCGTCTTCTCAACACGCTCGGACCAAGAAAAAGCTGACGCGGCTCGGTACTCGCGACGGATCCGTTTCGTTGCTGATCATTTCTCTTTCTCGCCCTCTTTCCTCCTCGCCCTTTCTCTCTCGCTCCTCGTGTCTCTTTCTTCCGTTCTTTTCTCCTTTTCTCTCGACCAACGTTTCGCTCGAGAGATTCGCGATCTCCGCGATCTCCGCACCCACGCCCCGAACTACCAAGGCGGTGCGACGCGTTTTCTCTTTCTTTCGTGCCCTTCGGGCTCTCTCCTCTATTCTGGACGGTGTCGTCGCGGTTTCGACGTTCGCTCGCTGCTCGAACGGCTCGTCGCGTTGCTTCGATAACGCGACAGCGTGCCGCTCCTAAAATTTCAGTCGTCTCGACGATAAAACTCGACCGCGATCGCGCCTCCTCCTCTTCCTCTCTAACCTCTCTGCTCTTTCTTTGTCCTCCGCCGACGTTCGTCTCTTTCGCTCTCGCTCTATCGCGCTCTCTCCGTCTCTTTGCTCCGCTATCCTTTCCTCACCGCTCCTCGCTGCTCCCGGTTCGCTTCGTCCCTGTTTCGACGAGAACTTGGTCGTCGCGTAAACACGCGTCCACGCACACCGCGGAAGCTGAAACCGCGGCAGCAAGAGTCGGCACCGCACTGCTTGGTCGTGTCGCTGGTTCGGTCGCTCGAGCCGAGAGGTTCGTGCGTTTCCGACCTCCGTCGACTGGGTTCGGTCTCGCTCGGATTCGGAGCCTCCC